GGTGGCATGCTGTGTCCTAATATACTTGAATAAAAACATCGCAACTCCCAAGATAGGGACTTTAACTTAAAAAAAAATAAAAAATAAAAAATAAATTTTTAAATTAATAATATAAAGAAGATAATAATCCTAATATAGTAAGTAAGTTATTATTCTCTAAATAGTAAGTCTAATATTTAAATTTTATCTATAATAAAATTTAAAAATTATAGTTATGTTATAACAAATTGTCTCATAATAATTAGTTAAATTAATGTATCTGTAACCTTTAGTTGTATTATTTTAAATAGAAGTTTAGAACATTTATATAACATGTAATATTACATATATATAAAAAAATATTAATAAAGATGTGATGACCTAGTGAAGTGGTCAGGTTGTTAATCTTCCAAATAGTAGGTTAGGTATTCAAATCCCATCAATAGTGAAAATTTGAATAATTATTTATATAATATTTGTATTATAGTAACTGTTACTAATGATTGGATTAGTATACTTGTAATAATGATTGCACCAGTATGACTAGCAGATAATGAGGCATCTGTGTAAGTATAATATTATACAAAGAAATGCAAACTAACAAATCAGGCAGTGCAAACACTAAATAAGTCTTTATGATCATGTAAATCTATTGAAATTAGGTAACAAGAAGTTTATTTGAGAAGACCTGAATAGAAAGATAGCTGAATATTCAATGGTCCTACTATAAAGACTAGCTTAGAAAAATGGATACCAAGAACATAGTATTCAGTTGTAATAGTCAGACAGGCAAGAATCTCTGAGTTGAAAGTCTTGAAAGTACTACCAACCAGACTGCTAGAATGAACCAGAAGAAAAGAATATTAGGCTGATCTGATATACTAATGAACTGATCATAGTTCTATATAGGCTATCTGGATTGAAAGTTTGGTAAAAAGGCAGATGAAAAGGCAGGAGTATACTAAAGTACTAGGGTTATGCTGTAAGTAGATGCTAGGATCTAAGTGAACTCTGCAAAAGCATAGTGATTTAATGATTAAATTCTAATTATAAGTATTGGTTCTATCATAATAATATCTAGATTAGTTATAAAAATAAGTACAGAAGGCTCTAGGAGGTTTATCTCAAGGATAAATTAGTCCTAAGATTAAGACAATGATCTGGGCATCTGGGTATGATCCAGTAAGTTAATACAGGTTATAGGTTCAGAGAATTTAAAATAGAACACCCAAGCAGAAATATTAAATATGACAATTGATAAGAAACCTTTGGGTCAACTTCTTAAATAGGTAATATAGAAAAGTTACACATATAGCCAATTGTATGCTTTTCTGTAGTAATTCATTGAACCACAATACCAATAGGTAATTAATAAAAGTTAAAAGACCAAAGAGGTTACCTTAATATCAAAAAAAAATATTAATAACTAATATTATATAAAATTTTAGTGCAAACTTACAATATATTACTAGTTATAAAAATGAAAAGTCAAAAACCTATTTGAAAATTTTTGAGTAAAAAGATAATATAAACTTTTGACAATATTATTAGACTAATAAAAATTTATAAAATACTCTTAAAGAAATTGATAAATAAATTGAATAATAAAATATATAGAAAAATATATAAACAACTAGACTACTAGATTTGCTAGAGAAAAAAGATACTATGATATACCATTGTTACAGTAGGGAGGTCTTCTTTAACTCCTTATTATAACAATGACACAGCTACAGGGATCCTTTACAGGTTTATAGCAGTGTCCAAGAAGGAAGTAGAGTAGCTTAACTATTTAACAACTATACCCTTCTCTGGGTAGTTTAGTTAAGATAATATAACAGTTTATAACTTTATTAACTTGGAAATGATAAACCTTGCCTATAGGAATTACCCTAGAGGTAAAATATCAATATAGTTTATAAATAAAGATAATAACTTTATTAAAAGAATAAGGCTATCTGTTAGGTTTCTGTTCTTAAGGAATCTTTTTACACTTTACAAGAGTTACTAAACTAACAGGTAAAGGTAGAGGGATGTCTGTGACTAGCTTGACTTGGAGAAATTCTTGGGATTTATATATCTGTTAACAATCATTAAAACTAAGCGTCAAAGCTTAATAATTATTAGAGTGAAGCATCAGATGTTAGGTGTCAAGTATCAAACATTATGCGTTAAGTGTTAAGCATTAAGCATCAAGTGTCAAATGTTAAGCATCAAGTGTTAAGCATCAAGTGTTAAGCATTAAGCATCATGTGTTAAATGCTGTATTTGTTCTGTCTACTATAACTAAATAATAATAATAATAATAATAATAACTAATAATAATAATAATACTAACAATTAATAATAAAATATATATTCATAAAACTATACTAAAATATAATAATAGGGGTGTGGCGACCTAGTGAAGTGGATAGGTTGTCAATCCTCAAGTGGCAGGTCTAAGGTTCAATTCCTACAGATGATGAATTTTGGAAATTATATCTGTGTTATGATAACTGTCTCTTGCTGATCGGTTGGGTTTTGGGCATCTGTAATCTTAGGTATACCAAGTCAGGTCTCACCTGACATTGGAAGCTTAGGGCATCTATGCTAAGTGTAACGTTACATGGTACATGTACATAGAGAAATGTAAAACCGGTATCGTATAAAACTTCAGGCAAACCCATGATAAGACTACCAGGCGTAGAAGGCTAAGAAACCGAAGAGACAGAAACTCACTTGGAAATTCTAAGTAAAGAGGTAGCACAAACTTTTGATGGTGCCATTGGACTGATGGAAGCCTATGAAACACCTTCATAGGAACTGTCGAATAAACCAGATGACAAAGATGTATAGAGGAGCACATGACCAACCAGGCTGCCAGAATCACCAGAGAAAAAGGATACATAAGTATACTATACTAGGCTATCTGGATTGGGAGTCTGAAGAGTCAGTTAGTTTCGAGTTGCAGCTAGTAGGTAATGATGAAGAAGAAGTCAAAAAGATAAGTATCAGGATTTAAGTGAACTTTACAAGAGTAATAGCAGTTTAAGAGGTAACCCTGACTGCAAGTGTTGGCCTCAGTCATAGCGTCAAACCAGGTTAGCAGCAAAAGAAAATATGGCTTGCTCTGGTAGGTTTAGCTTGAGGATAAAAATAGTCTTGGATTATAATCCTATGGTTGAATGTGAATAGATCTAGGTCTGTGATCTGGTGAAATTAATACTATGATTAGATCAGAGGGTTTAAATGGAACATCTAAGCAGAGGTGTTAGGTATGGCAACTGGTGGGAAACCCTCAGGCAAACTCCTTAAATAGGTAATATAGAAAAGTTATACATGTAGCCAGTTGTACACTTATCTAATAGTTCATTAAAGATACGTCTATATAAAACATGTATCCGCTATAAGTATTAATAAAAAGCTCAGACCAAAAAGGTCACCTTAATACCGAAAAAAAAAAAAAAAACTAAAATATAATAATAAAATTCATTCTATAACACCATATTAGGCTATCTGAATTGAAAATTTGAAAAATTCTGTTAGTTCAAATAACAGTTAATAAAAAATAATAAAAAAATAAATATTAGAATTTTAATGAATTTTATAAAAATAAAAATAATGTAATATAATAATTAAACAGATAACCCTTATGATTGCAAGTGTTAGATAACTATAACATATTACATAAAACTAAATCATACTATATATAAAACATAAAAGATTTTAGTAAGTTTTTTGTCAAAAATAAAATAATTTTAAGAATTTTAAAGATATTAAATATTTTGAATAAGTGTAATTTTGAAAATATTATTATAATACAAGTTAGAATACATATGCAAAAGGTTTAAATAAGCAAATCTTATAATTGACTTGCAGATATAACATCTAATGTAGAACTTATAATAATATATAAGTAAACTACTTAAATTAGACATCAAAAATGCATGTATAACTAGTTGTAACCTCTGATGTATAAATGTCTCTGAAAGCATCTGTGTTCAAAAGAACTTAAATAAAAACATCAATTCTCAAAGGCAGAGACTTAAAAAAAAAAAAAAAAAGTTAATAACATAAATAACTATTTACTTAAAAAAGGTTTAAAAAAATTATTTTATAAAAATTACTTTATAAATTAAATATAATAAACCAACTAATGCAAATAATTTTCTGTTTATAAGGTTTAAAAACTTTTAAAAGCTTTTCTTTACAAATAAATAAAAGTAAAAACAAAACCTTATTTTTTTAACATCACTCTTCAAAGACAGGAATTTAAAAAAAACCCCCTTATTTTTTTTAAAAAAAAAATCGAATTTTAATATTAAAAAATTGATTTTCCCAACTTTATTATTAAACAGTTTCAACAATTCAACAAAAACTTTTTATTAAAAAGAATAATTTCACCTCTATAGCATGCCTTCTGCGAAGTTATGGGTGAGTTTTTATTTGTTAGATGTTACACGAATATGGGACGATTATTGAATGATTGACCAATCAAAATTAATGTTTTCCTATATCATATTACTATGCCAATGAAAGTTTGCATTATGCTGTGTACTATATATAATTAGATTTAGGAAAACTGTAAAGTATCGTTCTATTTTACGTTTTACCATTGAATACCATGTCATGGAATACACCTCAGGGTGCTCTCCCATATGGTCAACCAAGGCCCTCTTTTCAAGTAAGCATCAAATTCCTAAAGAGTGTATTCTGAATATATTAATCATAGCCGAGAATGTTCTGAACAGCGAAATTTACAAATATTTTACCTGGATATGATCCATTAGCCTTCTCAAACTAGACCTGGTTTTCAAACTGCCACAACTTATGCAGCTAGACCGGTCGCGAGTCAACCTTTTGCACCAGGTCAAGCGCCTCCCTATGCTGCTACATCCGTATGTTATTTTCAACTTTTTGTTCTATGGCTGTTGTACGTTTTTCTTAATGTTGTGTACAACTAGGTGCGGGTTTGGACGGAGCATACTGCCCCAGATGGTCGTACCTATTATTATAACACCGTTACCAAACAAAGTAGCTGGGACAAACCCGATGAACTAAAAACTCCTGAAGAGGTATTTTGGCTTACTTGAAATTTCTATGTACTTATATATAAAGGGATCGAATAGCATAATTCTATTTTTGTTTTATAGCGAGCTTTAGGCTCTTGTCCTTGGAAGGAATTTACCGCCGACGGTGGGCGTAAATATTTTTATAATTCTATTACTAAAGAATCTAAGTGGGAAATACCTGCTGAATACAAAGGTAAGTCATATATTGATGAAATAATTAGCTCGTTTGAGAAATTTTTAATACTTTAATTTGTACTATGCAGAATTTCTTGATAAATTGGAAATGGAAAAGAAACTATCGCAGTAAGGATCTATTAATTACTAGTGATGCATGTTATTTAATTTATTTAATTAATGACATTTTAATTTGAATTTTAGGAACAGTGAATCATCGCCTCAAGCTAATGGAAATATAGTTTCACCTAATCAGCAAGATTTTGAGCGGGCTCGCCAATTGAGTACACCGGCAGTTAGCCCAGTTAATACAACTCCAGTAAATGTTTCTGCTAGACCGCTAGGATTAGCTGGGTCCCATATACCAATAGTTCCTATTCAGCAATCCGAGCCAGTAAAAGTCGAATTCGATACTAAAGAAGAAGCCGAAGTTGCATTCCGCGACATGCTTAAAAAATCTGTAAGTTATAAGTTATATGTATATATTAATTTATACTTTAGGGATTGCATTTTAACTTTTCTACACAGGGAGTCAAGTCTGACTGGTCTTGGGAACAAACTATGAGGGCGACCATTTCAAACCCAATGTACCGTGCACTCAAGACCTTGAACGAACGTAAACAGGCGTTTGAAAGATACGTAGATGACCTTATCAAGAAAGAAGAGGTAAAAATTATACATTAACAAAAATTTATATCCTTCATTTTCTTAATTGTTTTTTATTCAATAACAGGAGGAAAAGAAAGCGAAAATTATTAAAATTCGACAAGATTTTATTTCATTACTAAACTCACATCCCGATATCAATTCATCGACACGTTACAGGTATTTTCTTTAACATATAGATCTATAGTAAAATTTCCGATTTATTAACATTGATTTTAATCGCAACTTTAGAAAAGTATGTGATTTTCTTGGTGAACAGCCAGCATTTCTAGCGATAGAAGATGATAGAACACGTGAAGAAATTTTCAGTGAATACGTATATGACTTAAGGAAGCATGAAAAGGTAAATGATATTTCTATATGTTTGATATTGGTGAAAATTATATATTCTGCTAAAACATTCTTGTTCAAATGCAGGAAATTCAACGAGCTGTTCGTAAAGAGAATAAGGAAAAATTTAGTAAACTTTTACGATCTCTTCCAAATATCACTGAGGCAACTCGATGGGTTGAAGCACAAACCATATACATGAATACTCCCGAATATCTACAAGACAAATCTCTCCAAGAAATGGATATGCTGGATTTTCTGGCCGTATATGAGGAGCACATCAGAAATTTAGAACGAGAGACAACAGAGAGGAAAAAGCGGGAGGTTGAATTACAAGCGAGACAACAGCGCAAAAATCGAGATGCTTACAGAGCTTTTATGGATGAATTACGCCAAAAGAGTGTAATATCTGCCAAATCAAAATGGAAAGAAATATACCCACTAATCAATACGGATGAACGATATCAGAATATGCTTGGACAACCAGGTTCCAATCCGCTCGAACTGTTCTGGGATGTTGTTGAAGAGCTTGATGAGATTTTGTATTCGCACCGTAAAATTGTGAATGAGATTATGAAGGTACGTAAAATTTGAATATTTCAATTAAAGTATTGTTAAATAAAAATGTGATATTTTAATCTTTATCAATTTTAGTCAAAAGATATTTCGATGTCTTCTGGATTCACATTTGAAGGATTTCAAGAAATTCTCAGTTCAGATGAACGTATCTCTTCAGTTAATGAGGCTAATCTCAGAATAATTTTTGAACAGGTAAATTATATAAATACACAATTCTAGATATATAACCAGTAACACAGATTAACGTAAATGGTAATTACATAATAGCTGCAGAGAAAGCAAGAAAGGAGGCAACGTCGGAAATTAGATGCGTTCAAATCAATTCTCAGACATTTTGAATCAGTGATTGCGCCTGAAGCTACTTGGGAACAGGTATGAATTACTTTAAATCTATGAATTAAATAACCGTTCAGATCAATTTCTTGACGATATCAAATAACATATGCGACTGTAGGTGCGACCAATGATAGAAAAAACCGAAGAATTTCACGCAGTTGGTTCGGAAGAACAACGAATAGAAATTTTCACCAAATTTATGGAAAGGGTTAAGGTAAGAATATCTAAAATGTCTCTTATATATTTCGAAGGCTTATGTTATTATTTATTTTAAATTTACCAAAATTTTTCGGTTTACTAGGAAAAACTTCTTGAAAAAAGTGGCGAAGACAGTGAAGAGGAGGAAGGAACGATCAAAGATGAAGATTTTGACGAAGATCGACATGCATCGTCAGATCGTAAAAAAAAGCATAAAAGTCATCGATCATATCACCATCGCCGGCCTCATCATTCTGACTATTCGGCTGACAGTGCTGATCTCTCCGATAAAGAGAAAGATGGCGGTGATAAAAGAAAACGACGAAAGGTAACATAGAAAATAATTATGTTATATTTCTTAATTATGTTGTAAACCTTGAAATCTAACATCACATGTGTCTTTAGACAAAACTCAAGTATGAGTCCAGATATATGGAACCCAAATATCAAGAGTACAACAAATTAACTGATCCGAAACATGGTGAACATAAATCTCTGTCTCCAAAGTCAGAGGTTATCAAGCAAACATCCCCTAAGCCAGAAGAATCAGTTAAATTTCAATCGCCTATTCGAGATTTTTCTCAACGAGAGGTTAGCAAACATGCAGATTCAAGCGCGGAAGAAGGCGAGTATGTAGAACAATAAAATAAATTACCGTCTTTTATCAACATTTACTTCACTATTGTCAGTGTTATATTTTAGCTATGTGCAAAATCTATGAATACAATGAAGAATATGGCTTTGGGAATGTGGATCCACGAAAGTAAAAGGTGAGATCTAGAATAATGTGATTGACTATCCCGAAGTGTGATAAATAAAGTGTCAAAATTTTCGATGAGTAATTGTTACAGCAATCAAGTTTCGTCCGGTTCATTATCGAGAAATTTACAGTTGATTTTTTAATAAAAAGCAGGTAAGTGATTTCGAAAAAAGAACTTACGCCATAGCCTTTTATAAATGGAATATTGGTGAATGAGTCAGTCATTTATGAAGTATCGGATTATGTCTTCTGCCATCTCTGTCCATTGTATATAGCTTTAAAAAAATGAAAAAAAATGAAATGATTATGTGCAAAGTTATATTGAAATGTATAAATGTTTATATGTCAAGTAGTTAAAGTGTTAGATGTTGATAGTTTAGTTGCTAATTGGTAAGTATTATGCTACTATTCGAGGTCTTTGTTAAGATATTTTCAGTATTGGTAAAACGTGATTTAGAGTGTTCTATTTTATAGAATCTAAAACGCTTGCCTGCCTCTAAAGGTTTGGTTCCTATTGTACTTCTGTAAATAGTATAAATTGAACAGTTACACAAGTGTTTAAATGGTTATAATTTTTATTTAAGAGGTTTAAAACAATTCTGATCGTTAACTTTGTATGTAGTTATTTTAGCTTTATACATGAAAAATGTATACAATATTGAGGAAAATTTTTTTTATTAGAGTTAATTTATAACATTTTATATATTGCATAGCAACAGGACCTCGAGCAATATAGAGAAATTTTGGTTAAAAAAGTTTGAAAAGCGGATAATAGTCAAAATGTTACACATTTAAAAGTGAATAAAAAGTTTTAATGTTATGTTATTAAAAGGAAATAAATTAATAAGCTTTTAATTAGGTTACATTTAAATTTTGGATAATTAGAGGAAAAAAAAATTTTTAAATAAAATTTTTTAAGAAAAAAATTGGTATATTTGATAATTAAATAAAATTTGTTAAAGTTTATATATAAAAATTTTTTTTTTTTTGGTATCAAGATAAGGCTTTGCTTATATTTTTATTGGTAGTTTAAAAGTTAGTAGTTACATGAAGTTGTTATGTACAAAAAGTAATTTTTTATATAAATGCTATGGCTAAAACCAATACTTGCAGTTAGGGTTAAATCATTAAACTGCTAATTATATAATTATTGTTATAAGTATAAATAAAGAAAAATTACATTCAAGAATAAAAATTTAGACATATTTATCTGTGACCTAAACCTACTAAAGTAATCAAAACTCATTTAGAGTTGTAAGTTTAGAATATGATTATAAGAAATGTTGTATTTGATTCAAAGAATAGTTCAAATATTAATTTTATAAATGGCATAGTCAATAGGTGAATAGGTATTAGAATTGAAATATAGTTGATTAGATAGCTTATATAGACAAGAATAAGTATAATTTTTACAATTAGAGTTTCTTCTATTACTTTGGTTTAATTAAAATAAGGGTCTAACATAAGGTAATTTAAGTTCTTATTATTGTTTTCAGTTAGTAAAGTTTATTTATTTTTTATTTTTTGGTATTAAGATAACCTCTTTGGTCTTTTAACTTTTATTAATGGATGTAGTGACTTAGTGAAGTGGATAAGTTGTCATACCCCCAAGTGGTAGGTTGTGAGTTCAAAACCCACCGATAGCGAAATTTG